CCTTTTCGGTAAGCATGTAAAATACAAAGTCTCGTCTCTCTGAAGTTCGGCATGTAAACAAGGAAACAAAGGATAGAGTGTTTCAAAAGAAAACTGTTAAATTTTACGAGTCAAACATAAAAACAAAGAAACAACAGTTACAAGTCTCAAAAAAACCGATGAAAATTAAATTGAAACCTTTTGGCGGGAAATTAATGTAGACGCGCACGCGCGTTTTCGGCATGCCGTCGTGCTACCTTCGTAAGCTAAATTCTATTACGACGCCACTTACGACGCCAACCTAGTTGGTGACGTCACTAGAAGTCGTCGTCGTGCAAACGGTCGTCGATTCGTAAGCTCTCTATTACTACAAAGGCAGCACCTCCTCAGTTATTTTAAGACCCGAGTGTTGTCCAGCCAAGGCTTGAACCACGACCTCCTGCACAACAGACCAACACTCTTACCTACTGGGCTAACCGGGTGGCGATTATACAGTAGCTGTTAGTATCTTTGATGCTTTCACGTTTTGATATGACATTTAATGTACATGTAAGATTACAGATAAAACGCATAGGTTTTTGTTTTTACCAAAATCTACACTTTTTACTCTTAATCTTACTTTCAAGATCATAGCTACATGTATTGTTCAAAATCTTACCAAATACTTGATCTTCCAGACTGTTTTCATCATCACCTTTTGCCCCTTTCTCCTCTGATACCTTGGAATCTTTCCCTTTCTGTTTCTCAGCCTTTTTCTCTTTCTTGTGCTTTTTCTTTTTCTTTTTTGAGTGCTTCTTGTGTTTCTTTTTGTCTTTTTTACCATCTTTAGTAGCGTCTACTTCGTTACGATTTATTCCATCATCATCAGTAGCAACATTGTCGCCTTTCTTTAAAAAACTTTCAGTATCTTCAATATCAGACTTCACCGAATCATTCATTTTTGATTTAGAATAAGTTCTGTCATAATGTTCAGTATTCAATGTAGACGTTTCTCCAAACCTTTCCTTTGAATTTTCTTCAAGATCAATTTCCTTTTTTACTTCATTAAGTTCTTTTTCAGAATTATCAATAGCATCATCATCAGCATTGATACTTAAGCTGTCATCTAAGTTCGCAGCATCTAATAAACAAGTGTTGATGATATTTTTAACTTCCATGATAATATTTGTAGTTTGTTCTTTGAAGTTGTGCCTCTCAGAATCATGAGATGCTTCAGTGTTTAAAATATTTTCTTGTAACTTAGGATTGCGATCAAAACTACCTTCCTTGTAACCGTCAATGGATAATGGTTTGGAAACCTCTAAATGATGTCTATTATATGTATCAGATAAAGTAGAGGCTGGCTCTTCATGTTCATTATCAACATTCTCTAGTCCTTGATGTATAAAGGACTCAATACATTCCTCTGCTATTTCAAGAGATGGTGATGCAGTCTTTTCTCTTTCTATTTCATCACTTTTGGAATCATCGTCATCAACATTTGGAGAATCATGCATAGACCTGAAAAAAAGGAAAGGAAAGATTATGGACATATCATTGTTAGAGCTATTTCATGTTCATGCATTCTATGAGATTCCAGACATCTGTATTTTTGCTTCACATTTCAGGGTCATACAGTACATGTAGCTAGGCAAGCATGAACCCAAGTGATTCCAAAATTTTGTTTGAGGGAGGGGTGCTGCACGTAATGTTAACCCAGGGAGGGGTGCACCCCTTAGAATCAAAGGCAAAAAACAAAATTGGTTATCTTCGAAGTAGGAGGAAAAAGTGTAACCAGGGAGGGGTGAGCACCCCCTGCACCCCTCCCCTTGATCTTCCTCTGCCTCCCCCCTCCACCCATCTTCCACTGTAGAAACATATATATCTAAAGAATGCGGGGCGGGCATTGGTGGTTTGGTGGGGGGGGAATTGGTTGAGGGACGGAAGAAAAAGTTCTATGTTGTTCTTCTGTCCTTTGATCTGTCCCTGTCCAGCTGAATTCCTGATGCTCTGTTTTCGTGTGGCGGTTCTCTTACGAATATACACTCTCATATTTTTGATTTTGTTTTTAGAATTTTCAATTTACATATTTAGGATGATCTATTTTTTGCTTATTATATAATCTCATATACACCTGGTTGCGGGAGGGTCGTCGCGTGGGGGAGGGTAGGGGGTGG